TTTTGAACTTGTAGCTCTTGCCTTCTTCACCCATGTTCACGAAAGATTCCCAAAAGACCACTTTTATTGTTCCAGTATTATCTGTCAGGAGACCCTCTTGCTTTGTCAAATTATTTGTTGGAACTCTTTTTGAGCCATATAATTTTACCAGCTTGGCATTTATGGTAACTGTCTGGTTGTGGCAGATAGTTGTTAAGGAGGCCACAGTGTTGCCACTGTCTAGATCGGCAGCTTTGAATAGAAGATCGTCAGTTACGGACAGCTGTGTATTTTTTCAATGACAATGTTAGTTGTGCCATACTTTGTGTTTTGACTGTACCTTTTTATTTTGACTGTACCTTTTTATTTTGACAGGTGATTTAGTTTTGGTGAAGTGTTCAATTTCACTTTTTTTTTTGGAGAGAAACGAACTCCCCTTACAACATCATTCTCAGTCTGAATCGTAAAATCAAAGTATTTTTTGCACCAGGTTTTCCTTTGATTGGAGACAAGCAGTGAATATATCCTGACAGTACATTATTTTCATCTTCAATTAAAAGAAAAAATGCATGTGAAAAAGAGAAAAACACTCATAAATGCATTGGACGTCTTTAGTAATCCAAATCAGTGTGTATCATTTATACACTTGCTCAATAAAAGTAGGAGCATAATGTTAGGCCATAAGAAGCTTAATTAACTTTAGGGCACTGAGCATAAAATTTCTCTAGATCGTCTGAAATGGCATTTTCAGAGAATGCTAAATACCTCTTTATCTATACTACCTGTAGATTCTTCTAAATTCATGGGAAAGCTATTCCCCCTTTACACAATGGGAGTTGCCCCTAACAGCATTTTCAATTTATTGACCAACTCAGCTTCATTTCTCAATTTTCAAAAAAATGGGGAGTGTCACACTCACATCTGGTTGTTAAACACAAATTTAAGATAAATATTCTGCAAAAAGTACTTATTTCAGTCATAATATTATTTATAAATATAGATGTTTACAAGAAACTTGTGAGTCACGACAATTAATGCACAAACTAACTTTATACTGTATATAAAATATGACAAACTTACTGGAGCCGGAGGATGCCATATTTTATCGATTTGCAATGAAGCTAGATTATAAAAAAGAATAAAAATTAAATAAAAGCGGCTGTAAAAATGAACCAATGCTACGACCAATGGGGATTTGAAACAGGATGGAGAAAATCGTTCACCAATTCAATAGGATTGAATTTGTCAAAGTCTTTGTCTGAAAAATGTGCTAAGCTGAGCTAGGGTGCCATTTTTGAGGACAACAGAAATTAGTATGTCTTTTTAATATACAGTGCATATTTCTGCATGTAGAGTGAGTTATTTTTGAATTTTGAAACAAATATGAAAATTTGGAAGTTGGAACACAAATATTGCAACAGAAATTTGAAAGAGTATTTAATAGAATGAAGTCTTTGTCTCAAATACAAATATATCGTGTGTTTAATAATACAGAGCATGAACATATGCTATATTATATTTGCGTATCATTACGTTGTGTCATTTTTGGGAACAAACGGGACATGATGCAGTATAAATTCGGAATACAAATATTACAACAGAATTTTAGTATTTAATTTTACACCAACCTGGAAATGCACGTCTTCATTTGGTCAGCAGAACGGCAAGAAAGACTTCAGGGCCTGAGGCAATATGCGGAAATACTCACTCTCACTGACAATCATACTGCGGATTCAGGTAGACCGTTTAATGCGAATAGTTGTCGCGTTAGTTTTAACAGTTGTACGATGACGTTTCCAGGTAGATTTTTGATGTTTCTAAGGCGTGGCTTCAACGTTGTCCGCAATTGACGTCACGAAAATTCAACCCCCCCGCGAAGACTCAGACAAACATTGGCAACATTTAATATAAATAGTATTATGATTAAGAGCTTCCTGTGAGTTAGTTTGATAGTTTGATGTTTGTTTACGGTTTATTTGTGCGAAATCATACACACCTTGTACCTTTCGCTTTACCTGAAGTGCCAGTGCAAAATATGTTTGCTTTGGAAGTAGAAATATACACTTTTTCGTCAATTTAGTATCGACTGTCATGTCGTTTCTATCATAGGCGGTGTCTACTGTATTATAATAGTACATGGTTTGGCATAACTTTTTCTATAAAGAGGACATAAAGAAAGGCTATGCAAAAGAAAGGGCGATAGAAAGTCTGTGGTAGCAGATATTTAACCGAAAAAATCTCGTAGTCGTACCAGATTTAATTCGTAGCCCTAGCGAATCAGTTCTAAAGTTCCCTATTTAATGTTGTTGATTTCATGTTTATACTAACTTATATTTTAATTCTCGCTTTAGTGTGCATTATTTTATTACTTTAGACATCTCTTTTATTAATAGTAAAGTCCTAAGCCAAAGAAGCTAGGATTATTTACTATAATCTATTGACTACATATTCAACTTATAAAATACGGATTTATAGTAATAGGAATGTAATTAAAACTAATACTTTCAAATTTAAACTTTTTTAAAAAATGTCAAATATAAACTACAAACTATATAAAATCTCAAATATAAAATCTTCCGTTGACCAGTAAAACTATTTTGTTTTGACAATACAACAAAAATATGTTATTATAAAAACAACATTTTTATTTATCTATTTTTAAATATTCAGTTTTGTAAAATAGAGAACCGCCCTTTAACACTGTGTTAATTAATAGCCTAACACTGTCTGGTAAACTATTGCTTCTCTCAGTCATAAATTTAACAACAGACGCTCTCACTGAAAACGATGGCGTCCCAGACTCATATTTTGAGCATGATCCATCTGCTTATACTGTTGATTAAACTCAAGTAGAGGTTAAAATGTAGAGGCCGGCTTATAGCAAAGCGGTATAAAACGCCAAGTTCTTCCTCAGCGAGTTAGCGATTGGTTTTTATAGTTCGGGAAAGCATCGTTCGCTGGATGTATTGACGGGGGAAAATGGTTAGCTGCGAAAGTTCTTGGAGAAAAACCAGCACAGTCCGCAGTCAATAACAATCAACACATTGCTACTGCAGGCATTCCCGTCCCGTCCGATTTTTCAATTCCCTGTTTCGGCAGTTTTTCTTAGTATCTCGAATCACTTGGACATGTTCCCCAGCAACAGTGCTTAGCATTAACCATGTTTGTAATTTGGGATAAATTTGAATTCGTTTTAGCACAGATAAAATAAATAAATAACGTCAATTTAGACCAATTTATGTTCGCTGCTAGTACAATTCTATACAAAATGTTAGTTTGTTTGTCTGAGTCTCGTGGGGGGTCCTCACTTGGAGAATCTATTTTTAGCTACTGCGGACAACGCTATTACAAGGTAATTGCTAAATAGTATACTTCAAAATAGGGGTTAGGGTTTAGTTTTGAGTTTAATAGGATGATTTTTTCTACGTTTTAAAATAGAAACCTTATCACCAAACACGTGTGCGATTTTTCATTAATACTTCTCAAACCGTGTAATGTCCTATACGAATTAGCCTACGGTGTAGACCCCAGCAGAAACATGCGTATAGGCAATGTTTTTATAAGGGACCGTTAATAGTTAGTTGTAAACAACAGTAATAATAACATTAACAAGGTCAAGGTTTTATCAAATCTATAACTAAATAATGTTATTTCCTTTAGACTTAGCTTTATTGTAACTTTTTAAAGGTATAAAAAACGTGAAAACGGTGAATAACTATAATAGATTGAAAATGATTATTATTTATCATTTTGACGTTTGAGTGACTGAAATGAGTTAATTTACACTATATCGAATGTCATGTTGAATCTTATGCATACTTCACAATGGTTGCTATTTCATTGTATTAAATTTCAATAGTATGCATAAATACTATTTCAGTATAATTCAAATTTTGTTTGATATTTATATATCATGTTATTTACAAGATGTGCTATAGTTTTAAAGCTTTGCACACAATATAATCAGTGCGAGCACAATGGCTCCGTTTCAGTTTGAGTATATAAAAATATATGAACAATGTAATATATGAACAACGAGAGCGAGTGTTTCACCGGGATATTCAAATAGGAGAAAACAATTTGTTATCCAAACACGAGAAAAGTAGTTTGGGAGGAGTTTGGTGGGAAACAAATGCTTCCTTAGTTGCCTAGAAAAATTCCTTGCACGTTCTCTGAATTTCCTTTTTGTGGGAAAATGAACTAATCTTGGACTCTCAGGACTGACTTTCTCTGGTTTTATGCGCCCGAAACCTTATTAGGTAAATGTAAAACCTGATGTAAAGCGCATTTGATAATATTCGCATGTAAACTTGCGCTGTAGAAATGCCAATCATAATCATGACATCGAGCTTAATCCAGGACCTAACAATTATTCGACTAGCGATTCAAGAACGACTAAGAATAATGTAAAGATTGCACATCTCAATGTACGCTCATTAAAATGCAGAGAACATTATGTGCTTGTAAAAGAAACCATCCTCGCTAATAAGTTCGATATATTTACAATATCAGAAACATGGCTTGATAATTCTGTTACAGACGTTGAATTTGAAGTCCCTGGCTACAAACTTTACCGAGTGGATCGAGAAAACAAAAAAGGCGGTGGTATATGTGTATATGTATTGCAAAACTACGAAAGTGTGTTACTAAGCGAAATCTCGCATATATCTCCCACGGGACTCCATCAACTTTGGCTAAGAATTCAGATTAGGAACTTAAAATCCATTGTGGTTTGCACGGTGTATAGACCTCCTGATGCCTCCGTGTCTTGTCTAGACTCAGATCTAATTACAAGTTACATCTCAGCTTTAACGCTTTCCCATCCAATATACATACTGGGGGACCTAAACTGCAATCTTTTGAAAACTGACAACCGTGACGCCAAAGCTCTTAATACGTTCTGCCATTCTTACAATTTAACTCAACTTATCAACTCACCAACCCGAGTTACTGAAGGTTCCAAATCGCTATTAGACGTGATTATTGTTTCTGAGACAAAACAAGTCCAAAAAGCAGGAGTTATGGAAAGTTCAATCAGTGACCATGATTTAGTTTACATTGCACTTCGCCTCAAAAAGGCACACACAAAACCTGTTTTTATTACAACACGGAGTTTTAAACACTTCAACTCCCAAGCATTCAACAATGATGTGGCCCTAGCGCCATGGTCTATAGTAGATGCTTTTGACGATGTTGAGGACAAATTACAAGCTTTCAACTCATTGTTTATAGATATACTTGATAAACACGCACCGATAAAAACGTTTCAAATCAGAGGTCGACCTAACCCATGTGTAACTGAGAACATTCGGGAACTGATGAAGACTAGAGACAGGTGGAGAAAGAGAGCTAAGGAAACGAACGACCCTGAAGCTTGGATTGAGTATAAAAACCTGAAACACAAAGTAAGATCTGAAATCAGACTGGCTGAGCGTGAATTTATAAAGGATCAAATTAACAAGAATCCAAATAACACCAACAACATCTGGAAAGCTATTCGCCTTTGTATCCCTAACAAGTCATCCTCTCAAACGATCTTTAGTAAAGATGACAAAACTGTAGCGAATGATTTCAACCAGTTTTTTGTTTCTGTTGGTCAAAACACAGTTGAGGACATTAAATTGCTGGCAAACGAATGTGGTTATCGACGTGATGTGTCCTTTATTCCGAGACAATACCCATTGTCAGAACAGTTTTCATTTAGAACTACTGACAGTGAAGAAATTAGTCAAATAATAAGCTCAATGTCTTCCAATAAAGCCCCAGGAATTGATCAAATTCCCATTCGCGTAATAAAAGACTGTCTGACATCTATACTGCCTACACTTACATCTATTGTTAATTCCTCACTAGTTACTTCTACCTTTCCCACTGTTTGGAAAATAGCAGAAGTAACACCCATTCCTAAAGATGGAGATCATGAACAAGCGATCAATAATAGACCTATTTCATTATTACCTGTATTGTCGAAAGTCTGCGAACGAGCTGCCTATAATCAGCTTTCTTCCTATTTATTAGAAAAGGAAAGATTAACGCAACACCAGAGTGGAAATAAGAAATGGCACTCCACCGAAACTTCTGTTATTCAAACTACAGATGCCATCCTCAATGCCATAGCCAAAAAGAAGCTTACTGCTACAGTCTTTTTGGACATGAGCAAGGCGTTCGACAGCATTGATCATGAATTATTAATATCTAAATTGGAAGATGTTGGAGTCTCCAATATGACACTTCTTTGGTTTTGCAGTTATCTTTCAAACAGAAAACAAGTTGTAAAGATCCACTCAACTAAATCAGAACTTCTTCCTGTGGTCAGTGGTGTACCCCAGGGAAGCATTCTCGGCCCTCTTTTGTTTAGCATATATGTAAATGACTTGCCATCCGTTCCAGAGAAATGTAAATCTAACAGTTATGTGGACGACACAAAACTTAGCGTTTCCTTCCATCTACAAAACAAGCAAGGTGCCATTGAAGATATGAATGAGGATCTTTTGAAAGTGCGAAACTGGTGTTTCAACAACCTTCTCTTATTAAATCCAAAAAAGACAAAGCTCATGGTTTTCAGAAGTAGACACAAATTAGCGGACCTAAATGAGTTTAGCCTATCCCTACTTGGGAAAAATATATTCCCTTCCGAAACAGTGAAAGATCTAGGAGTTACTCTTGACCCTCTCCTTTCTTATGACGAACACGTAACTAAGACGATCTCTTCGTGTATGTCCCGCCTCGGTCAGATAAATCGTGTTAAGCATGTACTGGACAGGCAAACACTTATCACTGTAATAAACGCTCTTGTCTTCAGCAAGTTATTTTACTGTTAGAATGTTTGGGCCAATACAACTGGCAAAAACATAAACAAATTACAATCTGTACAGAACTTTGCATGTCGTATCGTTAGCGGAGCACGAAAGTATGATCATGTTACACCACTTTTAAAAGAATTAAGATGGCTTCCTGTGGCAACTCAGTTGTACTATCGTAGCACCACTATGGCTTTTAAGTGCATGACGGGCTGTGTCCCAGCTTATATTTCATCCCAATTTATAAAGCGTCAGGAAGTATCTAACCATCATACTAGGAATTCACAACAACTTAATATTCCGTTATTTAAAACGGCAACAGGTCAACGGACATTTTATTACAAGATTGTTAGTCTATGGAATTCTTTAGACTCTTCTTTAAAACTTTGTGAATCAGTTGATTCTTTTAAACGTCGTTTGAAGACGAAGTTATTGCATGAGTTTTTAAGCAACTAGGTTCTTACGCATATAGCATAGGCTTGTAATTGTATTATTAATATTATATAGTTATTATAAATTAGTTATTCTGCATGTAATTAGGTAATTGTCTTTGAAAAGCCTCTATGGGGAAAGATAATAAAGTATCAATCAATCAATCAATCAATCATTGAAACAAAACGTATATGTAAAACTGATTATGACGTACATAACATTGGTTGAACTGCATATCATGATGAAGTAAACCTAAATGTATAAAGTTCATTTACCTTTTCGGTTCTATGGAATAGCACAATATATGGGAATTTCGTGTCATGTGCACTTGAACGTAACAGCACAATTAAAAAATAATCAATAATTACCATGTACTGATGATATATTGTACAAATGTGATATACATACAGTAAAACAAATCAAGAAATAATAAAGGGGCCCTACAGTAATTTTTTAGTCGAAAAGCCAGCTTAAGTAGGGGACTCCACAGAGATTCATTTGGATGTATTGTACATTCATTATCGATGAGTATGAGTACTTCTGCACCACAGAAAAAGCATGCATGCTGTGGTGCGCATGTCAAGTAGCGAGAATAACAGAAAATGTAAACAATATGACAATTTGTCTCAAACATAAACTTACTTCACTAAAAAATGACTGTAGGGCCCCTTTAACAAAGTGTAAGTGCGAGTAACGTACTATTTTAGTTTGAAATGTTGTTAGTAATCTGCACTACTCCTCGCATGAAAATTACGGGTTCTGCGTTAGTATATAATTCATAATTATGTTTAATTGTTAGGTGGATTATTAGTAGTTATTTTTGTAGTGAACTGGAACATTATATTGTAGTCATTTACGTGCAGCTACACAAAATACACATCTCTGTTAGATATTCTCTGATTGTGACATTGACCATGTTTTGCGGAACAGCTGATGCATGGACGGTGGTATATTATGTTACTCTGTAGACTCTGTTCTTGGTCACTTTCTAGGGGTGGTGGTAGCGTTATTCTTGTTTGGTATTCCAAGAAATGTTTTTCGCTACAATGAAAGATGTACTATATTATAGTATGTCTGCATTATGAATTATGTATATGGCCAGTATGGGTGACGAATTGTATAAAGCATGTAATTGTTACAGTTCATTTCAGATTACTTTTCCGCATAATGTTGGTTGGAAAGTCAAAATGTTCGTTCCCAAAAGTTCCCAAGTTGATAGGTTTAATTTCCAACTTCGTAAATTATGCATCAAATTGCAAATTTCGGATCAAAGCATATTTTTATTGCATAATTTGTGAGTTGGAAATTGAACATAAACGCATGCACTTAAATGAACTTTCGAATGAACAAAACATTACACACAGAAAATAATGTGAAATTGACTGTAGAGTACTTGTTTGTGTATTCTTTAGAGTTTTTATTCAAACGGAAAAATGGAGATGACAGAGATAAGGCAACTGCCTTATAATTCTTTTATTAATAGATTTGAAATAAATTAAATGTGGGATAATGTATAAACTGGTGTAGTCTTTAACAAATACATATATCACTACTAAACGATTTTATGTCGTTCACGAGGCAAACTAAAATTTCGGAAAATATGGAGTTTAAAAAAGGAGGGGCTGGTGCATGCAACCATTGCCCCCTGGTTACGTGGCCACTGACTGTAATTCTATATCACTATCATTCGAAGCAATTACTGGTACATGTATTCCAGACTGGAAAGTTTGCAAATTGCGCAACCGAGATCAAAATTTTCCGGATTTTTACGCGTCTAGTTTTCGAATCTGCACGTCTGGTATCTGAATTAACACGTGCAGTTTTAAATATAATTCATAGTTTTTAGTTTTCACCAAACGTGACAAAGTAAATTGTTTAGTACAGCTGTTCATCTTCATGTTCTATGATAGTTTATTTGCTTACGAAATTTAAATGTTTTAAGAGTGATCACATTCACATGCACCACAATACGGAACGCTGACCAACATTCGTTGCTTGCCAGAGCCTTTTTTAAGAATTTGTCCGTGGGGAGAGAGCAATCTACAAAGAGGGACCACACTATTGTATGTAAGGGGGGTCGGGGGGATTTTCCCCCAGAAAATTTTTGTGTTTTTCCACCCCTAGGACTGCATTTCGTGCATTTTGTGAACAGATTTTTACATGCACAGCATTACATTATACTGTGGATATATTCTTATAGAATCTTCAGTTAAGTACTTACTTGGATGTTTATGTGAATACCACAACTCCGTCACTAACTTGTTTCGCTGATTAGTCTACCTTCCAGCAACTCAAATCTATAGGGTCTGCTATCCAATGAGGCGCGGGTTTAAAATCTAATAATGTATTCAGGACACAGTGTTTAGCATTTTTAAATACATTGATCGGACCATCTGACATTTTGCCACTTACATTTGGCATAGCATCGTGCCCAGGCTCTTTAGACTTTAGTTTGCAACCCTAGCGTTCAAATGACGTAATTTCACCATCGTTAAAATTTTTGTCCGACCGTAAGCATGCTTGTCCGCGATGAATCCGATCGATCAGACCATCTGACATTTGCCACTTCAATTGTGGCATAGCCTCCTGCCCAGGCTCTTTACTTTCGGCAACCTAGATTTGAAAATAACATCATTTCACCATCAGTAAAATTTTTGTCCGTAAACGTGCTTGTCCGATTGATCGATCGGGCCATCTGACATTTGCCACTTACATTGTGGCATAGCCTCTTGCCCAGGCTCTTTACTTTGCAACCCTGGCATTCAAATGACGTCATTTCACCATCGGTAAAAGTTTTGTGCATGTCGTTCCAATATGCACACAAAAAAATATTTCGAAAATATAACGGTCCAACCTATATGTCATGCCTGACTGTTGTAATAGTCCTTATATTATAAATTAATATCACGTTATGCTATATATTCGGATTTGCAAATACTACAGGTTTTCTAGGAAAGAGCTGGATCTTCTGTTCCATAGTCTTATTTTAGCAATATTAGTTTTTGGTATAGAGGTCTGGGGATGTGCGTCGTATTCTAAGTATCTTAGTCAAGTAGATAAACTTTTAAAACGTGCATATAAGTATGGATATCTTATGTATCAGGTATCGATTGTTGATATATTAAACAATAAAGACAGAGATTTATGGGAGAAAATAACTACGGATCCCAACCATGCCCTGCAAGTTTTGCTGCCTCCTAGTCGTCAATTCGAATTATGCAATCGCGGACATGAGTATAAACTACCGAGAGTTCAAACAGAAAGGTTTAAAAGAGTGTTTGTTAATAGATGTCTTTTTAACTTCATATGATATTTTTAAATTAGAAATTAACTTCTTAGGAACTACATTAAACATTATAACAATGGTATTTTAGCTCTATTGATGAATAATATCAATACTAATATAGTAATTAGTATAATAATTATTGATAAGTCATTAGTGCAAATTGTAAGCCCGCACGTTTGTTGTGAGGTGTTGCTTTCAAT